ATAGTGAACCCACCCGCTTGGGCGATGGAGGGAATATGGACATCAAGCCATTGGCCCGGGAGGAAGCTGAATGGCTGTTGATTGTTATCCTGTAAAATGTGTCAGTACCGTCTTTCGAGTGAGTGTGTGTGATAGTAGATGCGTAGATGTGATTAGGACTATAGCTGTGCGGGGCATATATATCCAACGGCGCGGGGAGAACAACCAGCCCTGGGTGTGACAGCCGGGCTTGATTTACAAGATATGGGAGATAGGGACATATATATATAAAGAGGTAACAGGCGAGAAAAGAGAAATAAAACCATACATTATTCTCCTGGGGAGGCAGAGCGAACTGTAGCAGCCGAACAGAGGGATTGATCTGTTCGATGTGAGATAGTCGCACTGGATGTAGTCTATTCTGCCGGGGCTCTGCAGCTGTACGCAGCTCATGCGGAATTGAGTCGTCTCTTTGAGAAGTCATTTCGCCCGTGGTTCTTGAGATGGTGCGCAATCCAAGTTGACTAGGCCGGATGATGCGGAGTGGAATGGTTGAGCGAAGAGCAAGCGGACGCAAGGATTGGAATGACTTCATCAAGATGTATCAAGTATTGATTAAGTTACAAGGGTGTAATTGGGTGGATTTAGTTGATAAATTCCCAGTTTAAAAGATGGATTGTAGTCTTTGAATATGAGTCCAAGTCAGTCGCAGTTTGGGACGTGCCGACCACATGACTTGCTTTCTACAACAATTCATCACTCAATGACTTCAATGTTTAGAATTCGAAAACCTAGGAATTAGTGATGGTTACAACATATAGCTATCACAAACGCGAGACCATCCTCTTTGTTCCCATTTTCCTGACTCCGGGGCTAACATGGGTATATGTACAGTCCATTGCATAGTCACAGATGCGACTCATGTCACCCCCCACACCAGCGTTTCGCCAGGCGCTACGCAGTAAAAGCTGCAAGTTCCCTCGGATTGCCAATGTTTTGCTGATCCTGTTGAGGGGAATTATGTGATGAGGGCTCCATGCAGATCAGCCATCCTATCACACCGTCTAGCGTGTGACGACCGGCGGCCTTCCTTTGATTCCCGTCGTCTCATTGGTGTGATGACCCCGGGTTGCTACTTGCGCTGGCGCTTTGCCGCCATCAAGCATTGGCCAGATGCACCTCCCAGACACACATCAATCCCTTTGCATCGTCTTCCCATGCTGATTCGTGCCCCCTCCTGCATGCGATGGCTTGTGCCTTCGGCCACTCGTTGGTCTCGAGCTCATATCTAACGCTCGTCCTCCGGGTCGCCCAGACTCGTGTTCTACTTTTTTTGATCTTCTCTACCACACTGAAGTATTTGGCCCTTTACGCGCGACAGACTGTATGTCTTAGCCAGCCGGTCTGGTTAAATCGCACTGTACACAGCTTTAATTTTTCCATAAGTGCTTCGGTCGAACGGTCAGCTTGGGGAAAATAGCGTCGATTTTTATTGCGAATCTTCCGAAACCACCGCCAAAATGCAGTTCATGTTTCCAAAGAAGCATAGGAACCACAAGCTCGTCCTTTGGTTGATGGCTGGGGAGTTTCCGCTCACCATCGTAATGCTGACATTGACGGGTATCGCTTCCCACAATCTATACCGGACATTGTTATGGCAAGATGGAGCAGACAATGGATTCAACAGTGCTCCGAACGAGGTACTGTATGCAGCTGCAAACTACAAACCGTTCAAGACCCCCATGGTTTGGTCCAGCTTGTATGTTACCCACTATACTCAAATATTTAAGAGCTGGCCGCTGACTTGGGAACAGTATGACCAACTACAACCTTGTCCTCGCTGTTTTGAGCACTTTCTTCCTCATCACAAAATTGCCTACCCACTGGATGAACCTATTTTATCCCCCTGTTGCGGTCGTTGTTCACTTGTCCCTGATCATTCTCTATATTGTGTCAGCCGTGTACCAGGCTGGGTCTGACATGTCAGACCCTAAACATCCCCAGTCAGGAGCTCCGTGGTACATTGCGAAGAGTTGCAGTGTCGCCTTCAAAAAGTCCAACGTTGGATACTGCATGCAAGCCAAAGCGCTGTTCGCTGTGACCGTCGTCATGATGTTAGTTTACCCTTCTCCCTAATATTCCTTTACTCCCTCATTCCGCGAGGAAATAGTTAACTAACATTCACCTCAGTATCTACTATGTAGTTATCCTCGGCTTCAATGTCCACTCCTGTTTCATCACCCCTGAAGAACGGGAAGCGATCCTAGAGCAGAGGGAGGAGCGTCGCATCGAGAAGGAGTTCGAAGAAGAGATCATCAAGTCTCCCAGTATGATTCCCATGACACCCGGCTCGATGCCTCAAGGACCAGGCATGGTCCCCCGCACCCCCGGGGTTCCACCCATGGCTGTTGGGGGAAATATCTCACCATTCGCACCTCGCACACTGGCCTTCAACCGACTTGGTAATGGCAGTACTGCCTCGGACCTCCCGTTACGGGACAACTCCCGGGCGACCCAGCCCCAATACCCGTCGCCGCAGTCGCATGAAGTCAGCCCGGAAAGCTCGACAGGGTCACCGATGTACTTCCCGCCGCCGCCAAAGAAGGCTGCTAAAGCCTGAATGGACTCAAGTGTTGAATTGTTGTTCGTGAGAAATTGCTTTTGTGATACCACTTGTTATTGCCCATATATCACCTTCATTATTTAACGGGGCAAGGATGGCGTTTAGACGGGTTCGTTCCATTCCGTTCGCCCTGTCCGTGGGCTTGCCTTTTATTGGATAAAAGACCACAATCCCTCAGTATATACTCCGTACTGTCATCATCTTCGGCGTTGTACTTTTGATTTGCTCCGACTCTATCGAAAACCATTTAATTTCTCATAATCAAATGTTGAGTTACCAAGGAAAAATATACATTCCGTAGTGCTTAGTACACAATGTTGGTGATATAGATCACAGCCAGCTATAAACATTGAATTAAAAGAGATCGATCTCACAGGACATAACATCATCACCCATGCGATAGCAAGCATGGGGCTCATCTGAACATCATTGGAAATCCAGCAAAATGAACAAGACGCTTGACTAGCAAAGCGCCCGAAAAATTGAGGGGGTATCTTGACGTGAACATGCAAGACGATGGAGAGAAGACCTTGGAAGGTTACTAGCCCGAGAAAAGCAAATAAACCGCGAACTGAAAATTAGGCCGATTCTTGGCGCTTCTTCTCCTTCTTAGACCAGCGCACTATATTAAAAAAAAAGGGAACTGGGTTAGCTTATTCTGCGCCAAGAGTAGATAGGTTACAAGCAGCTTAGCAGGGGATTATAAGAGGCGGTGGATAAAACTTACAGCCACAAGCATTGCACAAGGTCTTAGGCCCGTTAGGCCCCTTTCTCCATTCTGGCGAGTCTGCCGTTCCGCAGTCGCTACAGACATGCTGGGCTTTGAGCCTTTTACGGCGGTCACCTTCCTGAGCATTGCGCTCTTGGTCAGCAGTAGTGGTGATGTCGATATCGCAATGTACAAGACGGCCAAGGCTGACACCTGTGCTGAGGCCTTGTGATCTCTCGCCCTCTGCATAGTTCAGGCCGGTCATGACTTCGATGCCATCGATGTGTGAGTAACGTTCACTGGTATTAGGTTCTGGATAATATCCCGACGATTGGCCCGTGTCGGATTCATCCGAGTTCGGCCCCACGGTGTCCGTAGTATCAGGATCACTAGATATTTCCCCTGAACGAGAGGGTTGTTGGTTCTGGTTCTCGGTCACGGGGGCACGAAGCTCCTGGTCGCTCCTAGAATAGGCCACCCGAGTCGCGGTCGCCTCGTCTTCTTCTTCTTGCTTCAATTTGGCAATCTGTTGAATCAGACGTGCGTTCTCAATCTTGTGTTCCAAAAAAGAGTCAAGGAGTTGCGAGGCCTTGTTGGGATATGGTCGGCATACAAGGAAAAAGCCGGTGCAGCGCTCGTTGGCGGGCGTGGTTCTCTCTGCCTGACGCGCATCCTGGTTTGCAAGATGTGGGTGACCATAGGTCTCCATGAGACAGTAAGTGCTGTTGGACTTATGAAATCGTAAATGGGTGCGGAACGATTGGTTCGCGGCGACCGAATCGTCCAAATCTCTCTGGAAGATTGGCTGGTCGTCCTCATGAATGTACTGTGCCAGGAGACTTCCCTCAAGTTGTTTGGCGACACGGCCGGTGATATTCTTGCAAGACGGTGAGGCGTAGGTGATTCGGCCTTCGGGTGTGAGGAGAAGCAGCATATCTTTTAGTTCATCGAGAACTCGCTCTGTCCAGCCCACATCGTGTTGTACACCCTGATATCCCCCGTGTTGAGTACCTTGCACCCCGTAGTGCCCGCCGTAGGATCCATGAACTTGCTGTTGCTCTATTGCGTACCCCGGATGCCTCTCATTGGGGCCCGATCGTATCTGGGAGGTGGGTAGAGGTATACCCTCATAGGGTTGTGAGCGACTCAGAGCCATATCGAGTGCAGTATAGAGAAATTAAAACGAGGGATATATACACGCTTGATATGTTTGAGCGCTGCTGAATCCGACGTTTCTCATAAAAAGCTAGGAGATGTCTCTAAAAAAACAATGGCCGCACGAGGGGACGGATATAGTAGAGTGGGCGTTGCGAATGGAATGGTTCATTCTCCAAATTCGAGCCGGTAAATTCGGTAAATTCGGTCAAAAGAGGGTTGGACAATGTGCCTCTCAGAATATACACATCGTTTCACTGAGAGTCTGGATCTCCCTGAAAAGAGATGACTGGGGAAATAAGAGCCGGCCATTGCTGCTTGACAAAATACCGCCGATCCCTGTGGGCCTTTTGCACTGTGATACAATTCACGTGATTTCGTGTCGCCTTGACGCGGGACTATGTGATCGATCATAATCAACGGCGATCGAGCACTTTCATTTCTCAGTTCATTCTGTTTCAGCTTGTATTCGATTGAATTCGATAAAACTAACGGCCAACGGGCTCAAACGCCCTCCAAGCCCTTTTATTCAAAATGTACGTGTTGATCATTCCTCGCCTCGTGTCGCGATGCTAACTGGGTTTTAGGTGTAAGTGCAACAGCTCTATACCTCGGCGAGAAAGAGAAAAAAAAAGAAGGATCCAACGGTCGTCTAACATACTATAGCGAAGATCGATAAGCTCTCTATCCTGGGGTACGTCTCTCAAAGTTTTTAATCTGCGTGCAACCACCGCGGAGACTAATTACACTCATGCTGATCAAACCGCGCTTGTTCTAGAGTCCGCTCTTTCGATAATACGCGCAGCGAAACAATCCAGTTCCATACACCCCTCACATTGATTGTCGGATACAATGGCTCAGGAAAGACGGTACGAAATGGCGAAATGGGCGAATAGGAATTGCGACCAGCGGGGAACTGACGCGGATCTAGACCATCATCGAGTGTCTCAAATATGCCACAACGGGCGATCTCCCTCCGAACAGCAAAGGCGGTGCTTTTATCCACGACCCGAAACTATGCGGCGAGAAAGAGGTACTGGCCCAGGTGAAGCTGTCATTCATGGCCACTTCCGGGGCGAAAATGGTTGCCACACGCAGTCTACAGCTTACGGTCAAGAAAACTACACGACAGCAAAAGACCCTAGAAGGCCAGCTGCTTATGGTCAAAAATGGCGAACGTACGGCTATCTCATCGCGAGTGGCCGAGCTGGACCAAATAATGCCGCAGTATCTGGGCGTGTCAAAGGCCGTGCTGGATTCGGTCATTTTCTGTCACCAAGACGAAAGTTTGTGGCCAATGAGTGAGCCATCTGTGCTGAAAAAGAGATTTGACGAAATATTCGAGGCTATGAAGTACACCAAGGCCATTGACAACATCAAAGCACTGCGAAAGAAGCAGAACGAGGAACTTGGCAAGTTTAAGATCATGGAACAGCATGCAAAAGAAGACAAAGATAAAGCAGACCGTGCTGAAAAAAGATCTGTCAAGCTTCAAGATGAAATCGAGGCCTTGCGCGAAGAGACCCAGCGGATGTCGCAAGAGATGCGGCGCGTCGCGGAGCTTGCTGATAAGGCTTGGACGCAATCAGAAAGTTATGCCCAGGTCCTCGGTGCTCTTGAGGGCAAGCGCATCGAAGCTAAAAGTATCCAAACCACCATTGACAACCTTAAGAGACATTTGGTTGAGCTTGATGACTCCGATGAATGGCTTGAATCTACCCTGGAGCAATTCGAAACAAAGCAGATCCAATACCAGCAACAAGAAGAATCGCAAAAGGAAAGCTATATGGAAATTAAGGAACGGATCGAGCAGACTCGTCACCGTCTTGGCCTGAAACAAGCCGAGAATGGAAAGTTTGCGAATGACAGGGCCAATTTCGAGCGCCAGTCTCAAAGGCGTCAGAACATGATCAATGAGATTGCTCGCGCCAACAGCATCCGTGGCCTTGGCGAGATGATGGACCAGTCTGAAATTGACACCTTCATGCAGAAGATCAAACGCCTTTTAAGAGACCAGAACCAGTCTCTGGACCGTGTGAAGCGTGAAGCGCAGAAAGAGCTCCGTGAGGTTCAACAAACATTGAATGAGATTGGGCAAACCAAATCCGCACTCCAGGAAACCAAGAACGCGGCAAAACGACAGATTGCTGCAAATGACAAGGAGGCAACAAGTTATCAAAAAAAGCTCAATGAAATCGACGTTGATGAGGGCTTCCAGGCTGCGCTTGAGTCAAAGGTCGAGGATATCACGTCAACCCTTGAGCACGCGAAAGAGCGAGCCAAAATTGCTTCCTGGGATCAAGATATTCAGGATACTAATGCGGAAATCCGTCGTCTTGAGGATGAAAGCTCGAGATTGAACACCGAGCTCATTGATTCAACCAAGAAGACCGGGGAGTTGGCTCGCCTGGACCACCTCAAGAAAGAATCGAAGGATCGTGAACGCAGTCTACAAACGATGAAAGGAGCTCATGGTGATCGCATTGAGAAGGTTATTGGTCCAGACTGGAAGCCTGAGACACTGGAGCGAGGCTTCCAGCAAGCTCTCGATAGTGAATCAAAGCAGGTGGCTGATGCCGAGCGAGAGCGCGACAGCGTGAGCCGAGAATTGGAGCACGTAGAGTTCAAGCTCAAGACAGCCAAGAAAAACCTCAAGCAACGGCAAAAGGAACTTGATGAGTGCGTGAAGGAAATTCATGAAGCAGTCGACGCAGAGCCTTCCGAATACCCTGAAATTGTGAAGGAGCGCCAGGGACAGTACGATCTCGCTCGCAAAGATGCTGATCAATATGCCGGAATGGGAGAGTATCTCACTAAATGTCTTGATGCTGCCAAGCGCACCAAGCTTTGCCGAACATGTCAAAGATCGTTCAAAAATGAGGCGGAACTCCAGACCTTCACAAAGAAGCTGGACGCCCTAGTCAAGAAGGCTGGCCTTGATGCCGAAGACGAGACCCTTAAGGGCCTTGAAGAGGACCTCGAAACTGCGCGCGCCGCTAGTGCATCCTACGACACTTGGGTCCGTTTGTCAGAGACTGTCATCCCCGAGCTTGAACAAGAAGAGCAAGAATCCGAATCCCAGCGTGACCAGCTTCTGGAGAAGCTGGAAACCCAGGACGGAAAAGTCAGCGAGAAGACAGAAAGCAAGCGTGATGTCGAGGGGCTTGCTAAGACAGTGAGCACTATCGCGCGTTACGATGTTGAGATCAAGGCGATCAAATCACAGATCCAGGAGCTTTCTGCAAAACAGCAAGATGCTTCAACTACTCGTACCCTGGAAGATATCCAGGAGGAAATCGCATCCATCAATGAAAAGTCGCGGGAGTTGAAAAAGACTCTTACAAAAGTGACAAATGAGAAAGACAAGACGCGGTCAGAGATCAACAAGCTCGAGCTTGAGTTCAGAGATGTGAAGAGCAACCTTGACAATGCCAAATTCCAGCTGGAAAAGAAAGCGGACCTGACCGTCCGGATGGAGGAATTCAAGAAACTCAATAATCAGCAGCGGGACGCAATTGAGAAGGCAGATCAAGATATCGAAAGTCTCACGCCGGAATTGCTTCAAGCCCAAGCTCGTTATGATGATATCAGCCAGCGAGCCGACGAGCGTGAACGAGATCTGCAGCACGAGATCAATCGCTTATCTGAGAACATCCATCAGCTTGACCTTGCCAATGACGATATCAACTCGTACAATCAACGGGGAGGTCCGGGCCAACTTGAACGAAGCAAGCAGGAGCTTCAAGAAATTGAAGCTGAAATTGGCAAACTCGAAGCTGATCAAAGCGATATCACAAAGGAGATCAACAAAATCTCGACCCAACTTAAGGACAGTGAAAACACAAAGCGGCAATACTCCGATAACTTGACATATCGCCAAGCCACTCGATCTCTTAACACAGTTGTTGAAGAAGTTGAGCAATTAGAAGCGCAAAATGCCGAAGTGGACCGAGGCCGTTTCAAGCAAGAGTCAGAACGCTGGACTCGTGAACACAATGCCCTTGCTGCCAAACAGGCCAGCAAGATGGGCGAAATGAAGTCCAAGGACGACCAGTTGATGCAGCTGCTGGCGGACTGGAACACAGATTATAAGGATGCATCTTCGAAATACAAGGAATCCCACATCAAGGTCGAGACCACCAAAGCCGCCGTCGAAGATCTGGCTCGATACGGTGGCGCTCTTGACAAAGCAATTATGCAATACCACGGTCTGAAGATGGCAGAAATCAACGCCATCGCTGGCGAACTGTGGCAGAAGACATATCGCGGAACAGACGTTGATACTATCCTCATCCGGTCCGACAACGAGAATGCCAAGGGCAATCGATCGTACAACTACCGCGTCTGTATGGTCAAGTCAGGCGCCGAGATGGATATGCGCGGCCGCTGCAGTGCAGGCCAAAAAGTTCTGGCTAGTATCATCATTCGTCTTGCCCTTGCGGAATGTTTCGGTGTCAACTGCGGTCTCATTGCTCTTGATGAGCCCACTACGAACCTAGACCGAGACAATATTCGCTCTCTGGCGGAGTCGCTGCATGACATTATCCGCACTCGTCAGCAGCAGGCCAATTTCCAGTTGATTGTCATCACGCACGATGAAGAATTCCTGCGCCACATGAAATGTGGTGATTTCAGTGACTATTACTACCGGGTCTCGCGCAACGAGAGACAGAAATCGATCATTGAGCGACAGTCAATCGCTGAGGTATGTCTTTAATCTAGTCTCTATGTGACTTTTCTTGCTAACAATGTTCAAGGTCATGTAGCACTTCTCGCAAATGCACCCTCTTCTTCCAGTCGTTGTTCGGACATTTTACCGGCTACACCTGGGGTAATCTCTTTCTCCAATCTGTTTTAAGCCGTTTCCAAAACTAGCATACTCCGGCGTTGATATTATCAAGTGATGTTGAATTTACAATTTATTGCTATTGCTTTTTGATACCTATGCGCCTCCATCTATTTGAGCGTGAACAAAATCTGAATAACAAGAGAATGCAACATGCGCATTAAAAAAATATTCCCAAGAAATAGTACACAGTCGTAAGGGAAAAAAGATGCTATGCTACAGACAGCCGATTTCTCAAGACGAAGAAACCAGTTGGATGGATCAATCAAATCCAAAAGACAACACTAGAACAAAACTGCACTATCTTACACCTGCTTATCCACCTGGCCTCTAGCCTCAGCGAGCATACGCTCCTGGTCCTTCTTGGCCTGCCGGATAGCCTGCACACGCTGACGATCCGGACCAGACTTCTTCTTGATCTCCGCCAACTTCTGTGACAGCGCGATATCCTCGCTATTGGCGGGGACCACCTTCGCGTTCGTCATGGCCTGCACACGATCCCAGATCTGCTGGTACGTGCGGTTCTTGATATCAAGAACGGCTGATTGCTCGTTGGCCTCGGGGGCCGGGGCAAGCTTATCGGTGACCTTCTTTTCGTTTGCGAGGGCTGTTGCGGCGCTGCCGACCCGTTCGGCGAAGTAAATTGTCAATGCTGCGGGTCCTTGCTGGTCGGAGGTTTGTGTCACAGTCATCGGCACGCCGGGGTTGTGATATTTCAGTCGTGGAAGGCAGTTACGCCAGAAATGCCGCGCGCCTCCGTGGCCCTGGTCGATCTTGCGTGCATATGTGAGGTGGAGTCGGGTAACGGCTGGGAATTCTTTTGATGCGGAGGCGAGGTTGGGGAAGATGGCTGCACCTGTGCCAATTTTGGTCTGGAGCATCTGGAACAATGAAGAACGAGTCAGTTGGTTGGATTGATTGGATTGATTGCATGTCATCTAGACCGTGGGAGACAACGCGAGTTCGGCCTCGTTTGCAGGATCGGAGATCTCAACGGACGGGGTTTCGGCTTACTCTCTGTTGACGAGAACATTATACGTTAGTCCATCAATTCCGCGTTACTTTGGAGAGCCCCGAGAGGGAGAGCTCATAGAAGCTATACATACAGTTTGCAGCTTGCGAAGCCGCTTGAACAAGTTGACCATGATGAAAGGCTGTTCCGCACAGGGACTGGCCCTTATGCGATAAGATGTGAGAATATATGGATAAGTCGAGAGTGCAAGGTTAATTGGCAAGATTCTTGCTCAAAAATAAGTAGTATATGACCGGAATTGCGGGTTTGTTGATCGGGGAAATTTATCGTAGATGCGCTTGTCGGCGAAGAAGTTGCTCCGTGATAGTCACGTGCGACACAATCTATAGATGGTATTGATCAGGTCACATAGAACACGTTTAGTTAAATCCCACTCTAGAGACAGATAAGGACTGAAAACTCATCTTATAACTCACCTTACATATAAATATGTAGGTATATATCTCTAGTCAAGTTCTCTTACTTCTCATCTCTACACACCAATCCATCTTTACCACATTCTAAAGGACATCTGCGGTGTGGAGTTTTCCCCCGTAAAATACAATACGTTCGCAATACCTTGACTCACAAACTGAACAAACAGATTTTATATCATCGCCCCGCGCTTCTTTTGTTCCCCTCCGCTCTTCAAGGGAATTATAGGCCAATTCTGACAATCAGAAAAAATGGCCGCCGCAGTTGCATCCGCAGCTGAGCTCGATCCGAGCAACAGCTCAAAGAACACCCTCAAACTGGAAAATGTTGATATGCCCCTCCCCCACCATGGCCGATTTTAATTTACTAACTGACATTTCCCATTCCAGACCGAAAAGCGAGACACTCTAATCGCAATCGAAAAGAAGTACCAAGCACAATGGAAGGACAACAAGATTTTCGAAGTCGATGCGCCCTCCTTCGAGGAAGCCCCCCAGGGCGCCATGACCCCCGCCGAGCTCCGTGAGAAGTACCCCAAGTTCTTCGGTACTATGGCCTACCCTTACATGAACGGTACTTTGCACGCCGGACACAGCTTCACTGCTAGTAAGGTGGAATTCATGGCTGGATTTGCCCGCATGGAGGGCAAGCGTGCCCTTTTCCCTCTGGGCTTCCACTGCACCGGTATGCCTATCAAGGCCTGTGCCGATAAGCTCGCCAACGAGGTGAAGAAGTTCGGCCAGGGTTTCGAGGGATACAATGAGGAGGCAGAGGCTGCCCAGGATCTCCTCGCAGCTCCCACACAAGAAGTCAAGACCGAGGCAGCCGAGAAGTTCTCCGGCAAGAAGAGCAAGGCCGCTGCCAAGACCGTGAAGATGAAGTACCAGTTCCAGATCATGCTGGCAATTGGCGTTCCTCTGGAGGAAATTCACAAATTTGCCGATGCTGCCCACTGGCTCGACCACTTCCCTCCTCTTGCTATCCGTGATCTTGACAGCATGGGTGCCCGTGTCGATTGGCGCCGTCAATTCGTCACCACCGACGCTAACCCCTACTATGATGCTTTCGTGCGCTGGCAGATGAACCGCCTGCATGAGCTCGGCAAGATCATGTATGGCAACCGTTACACCATCTACTCGCCTAAGGACGGTCAACCTTGCATGGACCACGACCGCACCGAGGGCGAGGGCATTGGTCCTCAGGAATATTCTGCGATTAAGCTCCAGGTTAAGGAGTGGTCGCCTAAAATGGCAGAGCTCGTGAAAGGGAAGGTCGAGGATGACGCTAAGGTATACTTCGTTCCCGCCACCCTGCGTCCCGAGACCATGTATGGCCAGACTAGCTGCTTCGTCGGCCCAAAGATCAACTACGGTCTCTTCAAGCTGAAGGAGAAGGAGTACATTGTCGTGACCAAGCGTGCTGCTTGGAACATGGCCTTCCAGGGCCATTTCTTCGGCGATAAGTTCCCCAAGACTCAAGACGAGCTTCCCCAGGTTCTTGAGGTACCGGGTTCCGCCTTCGTTGGAACACTGGTCAACGCACCTTTGTCTTTCCACACCGGAGGTATTCGCATCCTGCCCATGGAGAGTGTTTCGGCAGCTAAGGGTACTGGTGTTGTTACCTCTGTCCCCTCCGACAGCCCTGACGATTACGCCACCCTGGTGGATCTGGCGAAGAAGGCTGAGTACTATGGCATCCAGAAGGAGTGGGCTGAGCTGGAGATCTTCCCGCTCATTGAAACTCCCACTTACGGCAACTTGACCGCCCCTGCTCTGGTCAAGGAGCTGAAGATCAACTCTCCCAAGGACGTCACCCAGCTTGCCCAGGCCAAGGATTTGGCCTACACGGAGGGTTTCTACAAGGGTACTTTGCTAGTTGGCAAGTACAAGGGCGAAGCTGTCAGTGAGGCTAAGGACAAGGTCCGCAAGGACCTCTACGACAGTGGCGATGCCTTCCCCTTCGCCGACCCCATGGGCAAGGTCGTCAGCCGTAGTGGTGACGACTGTGTTGTTGCCTACCTGGGCCAGTGGTTCCTGAACTACGGTGAGAATGACGCCGAGTGGCAGCAGGAGACTCTGAACCACGTTGTCAACAACCTCAACACCTACTCCGCCGAATGCAGGAACGGTTTCGAGAAGAACCTGTCCTGGCTTAATCGCTGGGCATGTGCCAGAACCTACGGTCTCGGATCCCAGCTGCCATGGGACAAGCAGTTCCTGGTTGAGAGTCTGAGTGACAGTACCGTCTATATGGCCTACTACACCATTGCTCACCTCCTTCACGGCGACCGGTACGGCAAGACGACCGGCCCCCTGAAGGTGACCGCCGAGCAGATGACTGATGAGGTTTGGGATTACATTTTCACAAGACGGGAGATTAGCGACGAACTGGTCACCAAGAGTGGAATCAACAAGGAATCTCTGCAGAAAATGCGCCGTGAATTCGAATACTGGTACCCTCTGGATGTCCGTGTCTCTGGCAAGGACCTGATCCAGAACCACTTGACCTTCTTCCTCTACATCCACATTGCTCTCTTCCCTAAGGAGTACTGGCCCCGTGGTGTTCGTGCTAATGGCCACCTGCTCCTCAACGGTGAGAAGATGAGTAAGAGTACCGGTAACTTCCTGACTCTCAAGGATGCCGTTGACAAGTTTGGCGCCGATGCTACCCGTATTGCATTTGCCGATGCTGGTGACAGCATTGAGGATGCCAACTTCGAGGAGTCTGTTGCCAACAGCAACATCCTTCGTCTCCACACCTTGAAGGATTGGATCGAGGAGGTTGCTAAGGACGAGACTCTGCGCACTGGCCCTGCTGATGCCTTCGCTGATAAGCTCTTCAACAACGAACTTAACAGCCTGGTCCGCGAGACCCAGAAGCACTACCAGGAGTAAGTTTGCATTCCACTGCTTTGCACTCTTATCTATTATCTACTTCATTGACCTCGATAACTAACTCTTTATCTAGCACCAACTTCAAGCTTGCTCTTAAATCTGGTCTATATGACTTCACTAGCTCCCGTGACAGCTACCGTGAGGCTTCCACTGCTGCTGGCGTTGGTATGCACCGGGACACCATTCTGCGCTACATTGAGCTGCAGGCTCTGATGCTCGCACCCATAACTCCTCACTGGGCTGAGCACATCTGGCTCGAGGTTCTCAAGAAGGTCGGCTTTCTTCTCCCCTTCATGCTCAACCTTAATTCTAACACCATTTAGTCCGAGTCTATTCACTACGCCCAGTTCCCTGTCGTGCCAGAGCCCTCTCCGGAGCTGACCGCCGCTCAGAACTACGTCCGTAGTACCGCAAGCAACATCATGGGCTCCGAGGCCAACTTCACCAAGAAACTCTCCAAGGGCAAGGCCATTACCTTCGACCCCCGCAAGCCCAAGCAACTTACCATCTTCGTTGCCAAGAAGTACCCCAACTGGCAGGAGAAGTACATTGACCTGGTGCGCGATTCCTTCGACTCGC